GGGGAGGACAAACCAAATTCTGGTACTTCTCTTTGGCTTCCACCAAAATTAGCTATGCTGTGCTCCTCTAAGAAGCTGGGTCCTGGATACCATGGCCTGTTTCCGGTCCAAAGGGTCATTAATCCAGCCTCATCAAAGTTCCATTCTTGTAGCCAGTATCTCCAGATCTATTTCCCAGGAGGTCAACTCCTCTGCCTCCAACCATCCTTGTAGACGGCAGTGAGCAAATATGAAGTTGAGTTGATAATGGATTCCAAAAAGTCATCAAGGCATCTTCAGTACCTTATCGGGTAGTAGAAAGGTTCAACATGGAAGAGAATTTGTGGGAACCTTCAAGTAACATCCATGCAACCAGTCTGAATAAGGCCTTCCATCATACACACCCTGAGAAGCTCAGCCCCAGGGGCTGCCCTCGGGGTTGAGGGAGGGATCCATGTGCTTGGTGTCACACCGCATTGTGGCCTTCTGACTATGGCAGGTCGTGAGCATGTTGGCATGTGTTGGCTTGCACCCCTAACGCTGGCAGTGCACACATGCTGAGGAGGGTATTTAAACTCCTTCCCTTAGGATGGTTGATGTGACTTCTTTTTAAATACCTTGTTCCTGTGACCGATGGTTTATTGTCTTGCTTGTTACTGACCTAGACCGACTGAGTCTGCCAGTATCTCCAACCCTTGTTGCTGACTCTACTCTTTCTTGTTTTCTTCTCGCCTGCCTTGACCACTGCCTACCATCTGCTTTGACCTCTACATGTCTGCACCTGCCCCAACCTCAGCCTCTACCTTCACCAGATTTAATGCCACAGACCAGTCTCCATCCAATGGCCAATCTGTTTCTGCAATCCCCTTTGCAATGCGATCCTGGAGGCTGTGACCTAGCAACAATTAGTATCTTGGGGGCCACTAAGGTTGCTGGTCCATCACTGCTTGCACAATACTCTAGTGATGATGAAGATGTCACTTAGACTCTGCAACTCATGTCAGGCCATGTTACCTGTCAAGGGAAATCCCATAAAAGCTTCCCTCTTATTTCCCTTGTCAATACAAAATAAATGACAACATACCCGGTGATGTGATGGGCGGCTGATTGTCCATCATGACATCCTTGTAGAGGTCCTTGTGTCCTTCTAAATACTCCCACTCCTCCATGGAGAAATAGACAGTGACATCCTGACACCTTATAGGAACCTGACACACACAATGATACAGTCACCATCCAGACACATCCCTTGTCTGTTACTGGAGAATGTCCCAGAATTCCCAGCACCGCTCACCTCTCCTGTCAGCAGATCAATGATCTTCTGGGTGACTTCTAGGATCTTATCCTTTCTCTTGGTTATCAGAAAGTGAGGTAGAGGCACTTTGATTGTTACATGGTCACCAGACTTGATGAATAGCTGTTGAAACAGACAGAGAGATGTCATTATCACGTGACCTCCTAGAATCCTCCTCACCTCTCCAGTCAGGTCTGTGTTTTAATAATAGAGATGAGTGATGTCAAGTGACCTTCCAGACTCCTCCTCACCTCTCCGGTCAGGTCTGTGTTTCCTTAATAGAGATGAGAGTGATGTCATGTGACCTCCCAGAATCCCCCTCACTTCTCTGGTCAGGTCTGTGTTTTATTAATAGAGATAAGAGTGATGTCATGTGACCTCCCAGAATCCTCACCTCTCGTCAGGTCTGGGTTTTATTAATAAAGAGTGACTTCATGTGACATCCCAGAATCCTCCTCACCTCTCCGGTCAGCAGGTGGATGATCTCCAGGGTCAGGTTTAGTACCTTCTCAGCCAGCTCACCGCTGTCGCCCATCTCCATCCTCAGCAGATTAGCGGCCAACCTGCACGTATCTTGTCTCACTGCCATTTGGCATCCCCCCCTGTGGCTTGAGCTGTGAAAACTTCACATCAGGAAGAAAAATACAAAAAAATTACAACTAAAATCAATGACAATACATCTAAGGATGACTTGTGGATGTATAGAATACTAATGACATAATTATTACACTAAATATCAGTGATATAAAACTGCCAAACACATAACATTACACCAAATACACTCTAAATACCTTCTCGCCCCCCAAAACAGCCAACAAACCAACAACAGCCCCCCTGCATTTATCCTAACCACAACCACTTCCTGCTTTCAAATTGTCACTTCCTGCCTTGTTTTGCGTTTCACTAGACTTTCTGGTTCCAACCCTCTCCCTCCCCTGGGCGCTTCCAATGCTGCCCGCTAGAGGGCGCGCAAGTACTCACTGAGAATCACTAAAGGCAAAGAGGTGCAGTTAGCAAAAGTGGCCGCTAGATGGGGATACTAAGTGCTGGATAGGGAGCAGGAAGTAGAAGTAGGCTGGTGGAACGCAAGAACCCGGATGTGCCCTTTTTTTTTATAGCTGGGTGGAGCTGGGAAAGTGGGGAGAGTGTTGTTAGCCGCAATTAATTTGGGTATGAGAAGGAGAGAGGGTGCTATTTAAAATTTTTTGGTTATATGTTGTACTGCCTGGTGTTATTTTGTTATAACTCACTAAACATTATTATGGTGTCTAAGTTATGGAATCCAAGGGACAGCTATGTAATGTTACACTGTGGATCTTTATCCTTTCCGTATTTAATATATTCTTAATTTTGCTCTATGTGTCTGTTTGCCGTATCCTCCATCTATAGGCATCTTCCTGTTCTATACATTCTGGTGTGCTATGGGTGCGTCTTGCGACGGTGATACTCCAACAAGGAGCAAAAGGATCAGCGACTGAGAATGGCGACAGAGCGGAGTCACATGACAGAGAAGAATATTATACACCTCGCCCTGGAGACTATCTACTTGCTGACCGGAGAGGTGAGGAGGATTCTGGGAGGTCGCATGACATCACACTTAGATCTGTTAATAAAACAGACCTGACCAAAGAGGTGAAGAGGTTTCTGGGAGGTCACATGACATCACTCTTGTCTCTATTAATAAAACCCAGAGCCGACCAGAGAGGCGAGGAGGATTCTGGGAGGTCACATGACATCGCTCTCATCTCTATTAATAAAACCCAGACCTGACCGGAGAGGCGAGGAGGATCCTGGGAGGTCACATGACGTCTCTCTTATCTCTTAATAAAACGCAGAACTGACCGGAGAGGTGAGGAGGATTCTGGGAGGTCACATGACATCACTCATCTCTATTAATAAAACACAGACCTGTGCGGAAAGGTGAGCAGGATTCTGGGTGGACACATGACGTCACTCTTATTTATATTAATGAAACACAGACCTGACCGGAGAGGTGAGGAGGATTCTGGGAGGTCACATGACGTCACTCTTATCTCTAGTAATAACACACAGACCTGACCGGAGAGGTGAGGAGGTTTCTGGGAGGTCACATGACATCACTCTAATCTCTATTGATAAAACACAGAACTGACTGGAGAGGTGAGGAGGATTCTGGGAGGTCACATGACATCACTGTTATCTCTATTAGTAAAACACAGACCTGACCAGAGAGGTGAGGAGGATTCTGGGAGGTCACATGACTTCATTCTTATCTCTGTTAATAAAACACAGACCTGACTGGAGAGGTGAGGAGGATTCTGGGAGGTCACATGACATCACTCTTATCTCTAGTAATAACACACAGACCTGATCGGAGAGGTGAGCAGGATTCTGGGAAGTCACATGACGTCACTCTTATCTCTCAATTAGCTTCTGCATGCTGCTCTATACCCTAACATGTTTTTAGCAAAACTATGTGGCTGTTGTGTATAGCAATAGATGGATGCTTTTTTAATTCCAATGTATCTACACAGGGTTACGTAGTATTGAGGAGAACATCTGGTGGTGGACAGATTCCTATGACAGTTCCTCTTCATTCTTTGACTCCTGACAGAAAGAACAAGAAGATCCTAGAAGTCACCTAGATCATTGAGCTGTTGACAGGAGAGGTGAGCGATGCTGGGAATTCTGGGACATAATCCAGGAATGTGTTTGGATGGTGACTGTATCAGTGTGACTGTCAGGAAGTCATGGTGCCTCCTCTCTCAATACAGAATTTATACGAGAACAAACGTCATTCCAGAAGAACATCAGGACGAAGAACCGGCTGCTTCTCACACCAATGGGTATGTCAAGGTTTAGTTCTTATTTTCTGTATGCTGGAAGGGACTACTAGGCGGTGGTAGATGATCATTGCCATGATGAGTGATATGATAGTCAACAGACTATCTGGTAGTAGTTGGTCACATTCAGCTGGACTTGTTCTGTAATGGAGGTGCTTGAAAGCAGGCCCAAGGCATTTCTTCAATTCTGAGAACTGTAGAATTGTCTTGGAGAGGCTACAAAATTTCTCCAACATTACAGAACAAGTCCAGTTCAATGTGACCAACTACTACAGGATATACCACGACCTGGATAAATAAGAACCTTTGCAGAAAAGTCAGCAGGTTGTATTTTGCAACTTGGTATGTGCTTAGTGGAGTCCCACTCCAAGCTCCCATGATATAATTCCACATCAAATAGGGTGCAGGCGTGTATGCTAAGCCAGCCTTTCTCAACCAGGGTGCCCAGGTGCCCTAGGGTGCCTTGAGGCTTCTTCAGGGGTGCCTTGATGTTTCTTCAGGGGTGCCTTGGCAAAATGTCTGAAAATTACCCAAAACTTGTATACAAGCCAGCGGGTGGAACAAGCCTGCCTTTCAGTTACACAAAGCCACAGGTTTTCATTGTGCACCATTACAAGCTTCTAGCCACCGGCCTCCTGACAACCAATGACATCATCAGTTGATAAGGAGAATGTCAGCTGCCTGCACAGCATCCTAGTTTGACCCTCCCCTGCCCCTCTCCGTCAGTGCTGGGGTCATATTAGCTCAGTGATGGAGAAAAACTGAGGGAAAGGAGAAACATTGGCACACTAGTCAGTACCAGGGTGCAAACGTGTATTTGCTTTGGAAGAATAAATCCCCTCTAATGTTGGGTGTACTACATGTGTGGATGTTGCTGTGTTATATAAAGCTATTAGAATAGTTTTTCACATTTTAGAATGGGGTGCCTCAGAACTGTCCATAATTTTAAAGGGTGCCTCGGGACTGTCTGTAATTTTAAAGGGTGCCTCGGGACTGTCCGTAATTTTAAAGGGTGTCTCAGGACTGTCCATCATTTTAAAGGGTGCCTCGGAACTGTCCATCATTTTAAAGGGTGCCTCGGGACTGTCCATCATTTTAAAGTGTACCTCGGGGCTGTCCATCATTTTAAAGGGTGCCTCGGGACTATCCAGCATTTTAATGTGTGCCTCAGGACTGTCCATAATTTTAAAAGGGTGCCTCAGGACTGTTCATAATTTTAAAGGGTGCCTCGGAACTATCCATAATTTTAAAGGGTGCCTCGGAACTGTCCATAATTTTAAAGGGTGCCTCGGAACTGTCCATAATTTTAAAGGGTGCCTCGGGACTGTCCATCATTTTAAAGGGTGTCTCGAGACTGTCCATCATTTTAAAGGGTGCCTTGACTGAAAAAAGGCTGAGAAACACTGTGCTAATCCAATGCAGTATGACAGATCCTAGGTGCACACCAGACAGCTCCCAGTGTTTGAGAGATGAAATGCATCCTCAGCCCCGGATCCTCCCGATAGGCCACCCCACTTACTCGTTTCACCCCACCCTGGGGCCTCATTGGAGACCTCTATGACTAAGCCCCGAGGGCGTGGCAAAACGCATCATTTGACATGGCTTATTGGAAGGAGCCATGGCTGAGGCTGCTTTCTATCTTTCAAACACTTGCAGCTGCCTGGTGTGCAGCGTTCGCTTAGAATCTCTAGGTTGTGTTTCACAACTTAGGCAACGCCTCTTTTTTGGGGCCTAAGAGATTGCAGGCCTGGGTGCCAGGTTCAGTACAGTGCTGGGAAGGGTAGGCAGGACCTTAGCTGGGGGACAGGAGCTGTAAATCAAGGGATTCTAGAAGCTAAGTGGCGTGCAGGCAGTAACATCATCTGAGGCTTTCTGGACCTCCGTAGTGGGAAGGGTCGAAAATACTGTTGTGTGTGTTGGATTAGTGTTCACAGACCAGATTACTTGCAGGGTGATTGCCTTTAGTCAGCTGATCCTTCCCCAATTACCATGCCTTATTCTGCAATGTGCCTACATATGAAGGCAGCCATCTTGGTAGAGGCAGGGCTTTGCTTCCTCATGTCAGAGCCTCCAGCAAGGAGATCATTGAGCAGCAGAGCAGTGACATCACAAATCTCCAAGGACTAACAGTGCCTTAGATCTCACATTACAGCTATGAGGCTGTAGGCACAGGAGTGCCTAGGCACCCTCACATACCAGGAAGTGCACCACTGTTTATCAGGAAGAATTGCAGACATAATGTATATTGTTTAAGATGCAACTTAGGCACAATTAATGTTTCTAAATAGTCCCTATAACATAGCAGATCTTTACTTTTTTGAGTTCAGTTCCACTTTAAATGGACTGTTACTATACCTGTTCAGGCAGTCTCTTCAAAGTCCAACCCCTGACCCACTTATACTTTGCAGTGCTGCCCCACCATCATGGCTGCCGCAAAACACCAGTTGCTTCCATCAAAAGAGGGACCATGTGGCCTCTTCCAATGAGCCAATCGCTGTCAGTGGATAGGGAACATGACAGAGTCTCTTTAATTTTCAACAAGAAAAACAAGCACCTCTCCAGGTGGGTGCACTGATCCACCGCTGCTAACACATTAGTAGGTGCTGGCCCAGCTCGCAACAGTCTTTACAATAGAGAAAAAAAACAATTTTGGTTGGCCGCACATCTGGAATCGCCTTTATCGTAGAATTTTCAGTAAAATCACATCACTGCAAATACAGTAGGGGAGAATGACATAAAACATTAACACGTTTCGTCCTTATTCATAGCTGATGGATCAGCTATGAATGACGAAACGCGTTAGTTGTATTCTGTTCTCCCCTGTTCTGTATTTGCAGTGATGTGATTTTACTGAAAATTCTACAACAAAGGTGAGTTTAGATGCGTGGCTGACCAAAAGACCTTTATTTATATATTTTTTTTTATTTAATTTTTTTTTTCTACTATAGTGTGATTGCTACCCTTTTATATTTATTTTGAACAGATATCTACAAAAGCAAGCAGAAACAGCATGTGTCCAGTGATGTCAAGCAGGAAGACAAGCCCTTAGATGGAGACTTTAATGAAGAAATAGAATACAGAATGGTCAAAATCAAGAAGGAGTCTGAATCTGAAGAAGACCTTTCAGATAGTGACTTGCCTGGCAGTGTGAAGGTCTCTGAGGCTGAGGGCCCTAAGTTATTTGGTCATATTAAGAATAAATCTGAGGATGGTCGTGAGACAGACTATTTATCTATCTGTATTAAAGAGGAATCGTTTTCGGAAGACGAGGGGGATCCTTCACAACTGAATATACAAACGGTCACATGGCCCCCTGATGACGAAGATGGGAGTGTATGGGAAGGAACTAATAATTCCTCCTCAGCCCAGGAGACAAAGACCTTCAGCTGTGAGGGGTGCAAGAAAAGCTTCGGCAGCAGCTCTGACCTTCTCAAACACCAGCTGGTGTACAAAGGGCCTCATTCTCTGATCTGTTTGGAGTGCGGAAAGTGTTTCGCCAAGAAAGCGCAGCTGGTGAAACATCAGCGTATCCACACCAGGCCCAAGCCCTTCATGTGCCCTGAGTGCAAGAAGTCCTTCCCTCTGAAGTCACTTCTAATAACGCACCAACGCATCCACACAGGGGAGAAACCGTTCTCGTGCCAGGACTGCGGCAAGTGTTTTGCGCAGCAGTCGTCGCTCATCAAACACGTGAGGACTCACTCGGGGGAGAAGCCGTACAGTTGCTATACTTGCGGGAAGAGCTTTACCAGCAGCACCAACCTCATTCTACACCACCGTACCCACACAGGAGAAAAGCCCTTTGTGTGCCAGGACTGCGGGAAGGGCTTTGGGCAGAAGTCGCTCCTCGTCATCCATCAGAGGTCCCACACGGGGGAGAAGCCTTATTCCTGTCCCATCTGCAGCAAGTATTTCACCAGCAAGTCCCCCTTCGTCCGGCATCAGCGAATCCACACGGGCGAGAAGCCTTTCTCATGCCCAGAGTGCGGGAAGTGCTTCAACCAGAATTCGCTGCTCGTAAAACACCAGCGTGTTCACACGGGAGAGAAACCGTTCCCCTGTCCCGAATGCGGGAAATGCTTTGCCCAGAAGACTTCCCTGGGCAAGCACCGGCGGACTCATTCTGGGGAGAAGCCCTACATGTGCTGTGAGTGCGGGAAGAGCTTTGCCCGCAGCACGCACCTCACTGTCCACCAGAGAATCCATTCTGGAGAGAGAAGCCTTTTTCTTGCTCGCAGTGCGGGAGATCCTTTAACCAGAAGTCGGTGCTGATCAGTCACCAGAGGACCCACACCGGAGAACGGCCTTTTTCTTGTTCCGAATGTGGGAAATGCTTTAGTCGCAGCACCCACCTCCATGTACACCAGAAAGCCCACTTATTAGAGACCTCGCCCACCAACTGAGAGACTTGCACAGTCGATGAGCCAAATCCCATATCACTGGCTAAAGTTAAAGAGTAACCAAATCCATCAAAGAAACTGTCCATCCAGAAGATGAAGAAAAATCACATTTTAGGTGCCCTCCTGATCTGAGAGCGTGCCATTCCACTGGGTAGTTGCATCAATAATGTTGTCAATGAGACATCCGAATATTTCATTAAAAATATACAGAATTAATGTATTTCTTATTTATTAATTTAAAAAAAATGGTTACACAGGAAGACTTTATTTAAGTTCTCCCCCCCAACTACACACACTGCAAGGGTTAAATGCTCATTAAGTCTAGGGGTACAGGGATAAGGAGTAATACATACCATACTCTGCACTCCCGTAGGTTCCTTCTAGCCATATGACTGCTCCCTCAAAGCCTCCTCTCTAAGGTGGTCCTGGCCATGGTTACATGTCTGCCTCCTCCACCTATAATGAAGGGTTATTTTCTTCCATCCCTGTGTGCTAAAATAACTAAGTCTACATATAATTACGGGTTATTTGCCCTGCATTGTAAGTGATCATCCTCCTCAGCTTCCCCTAAACCTAATGAGCATTTAACCTTTGCAGTCCTCAGGGCCTCACTGCAAGGTTTTTTGTTTTCTCCATCCCCGAGTTGGTTTTCACGATGGATAAAGCACCCGACCCAGATGGCTTCCATCCTTGTGTGCTAGAAGAATTAAGTCAATATATAATAAAGGGTTATTTTGCCTTGCATTGTAAGTGATGATGCCTAGGGACCACCCACAGCAGAAGAGAGCAGAGGTTAGCACTGGAAGGGTATGTAAGGTAAGTATTACATCCTCTCCAGCTCCCACTAGACCTAACAAGCATTCAACCTTTGCAGTTATTATTATTATACAGTATTTATAAAGCGCCAATAGTTCACTCAGCGCTGTACATTACAAAGGTGGACAGAACATGTGACAGAACAATACCAATACAATGCAAAACATGAGGGGATCGAGGGCCCTGCTCTTTCGAGCTTACAATCTAGAAGGGACGGGATAGTGGTACAGGAGGAGATAGCTGTGGGGGATGGAGTGGTAGGAAGAGTGGAGGAGGTCAGCAAGTTAGCAGGGGGTGAGGTAGGCTTCCCTGAAGAGATGGGTTTTTCAGGGTACGCCTAAAGGAGAGGAGAGTAGGTGATAATCTGATGGGTTGGGGAAGGGAGTTCCAGAGAATGGGTGACACCCTGGAGAAGTCCTGGAGGCGGGCATGGGAGGAGGAGACCAGGGAACTAGAGAGAAGGAGGTCTTGTGAGGAGCGGAGTGTGCGTGCTGGGCGGTACTTGGATATTAGGTCAGTGATGTAGTTCGGGGCAGTATGGTGGACAGCTTTGTACGTCAGTGTTAGGATTTTAAATTTGATCCGTTACGCAATCGGAAGCCAGTGGAGGGATTGGCAGAGGGGGGTGGCGGAAATGGAGCGGTTGGAAAGGTGAATGAGTCTGGCAGCCGTATTCAGGATCGACTGAAGCGGGGATAGCCAGCGGCGAGGCAGGCCAGTGAGGAGGGAGTTGCAGTAGTCAAGTCGTGATATGATGAGGGAGTGGATGAGCTGTTTAGTGGTTTCTGGGGTTAGGAACGTGCGGATTTTGGCGATGTTGCGGAGGTGGAGTCTGCACGAGTTTGTTAAAGATTGGACTTGGGGCTGGAAGGATAGGTTGGAGTCCAGAATGACACCAAGTACTCTGGCCTGCAGAGCGGGTTTGATATTGGCGTTGTTGGATGTGATGTAGAAGTCAATGGGGGGTGGTGTCCGGGGCTGGGGGGAAGACAAGGAGCTCGGTTTTGGAGAGATTCAGTTTAAGGAAGTGGAGCGACATCCAATCTGATATGTCGCTCAGCAGTTCTCAGGGCCTCACTGTAAGGGTTTTGTTTTCTCCATCCCCGAGTTGGTTTTCACGATGGATAAAACACCCGACCCAGATGGCTTCTATCCTTGTGT